CACACACACACACACACACACACACACACACACACACACACACACACACACACACACACAATAACACACACGCACACGCACACACGCAACACACATATATACATCGTATGGTTTGGTCGTGAACACACGCGTCGGACCGAGCGAAATACGAGCAGACCTCATTTTCAATTTGTTTCCGTCTATTTGAAAAATGGAGAACGCAATCCGCGGTCTGCGCGGTCCCCGCTTTGCCAGGCATGCATACCGCAGAATCTGTGCATGAAAAAAAAAGAATCATTGCGCAACGAAGAGCGTGACTTTTCTGTCTTTTCATATTCTGTTTTAGAATTCTCACGAGAGATTGAGTCAACGAATCTCGTTACCAGAAATACAAAAACATGGATTTATTAATCTTGTTACATTGTTTTACAGGTATAAAAGCGTCGCGTGTCGTCGTGTGTATTTTTATAATCTGATTTTAATAAGACAGAGCATCAGCGATTTTTGCATCGACATTTCGAACTGAATACTCATTCGTATTTAATTCGATCGAGAATAATTTTCCATTTTAATTCCAAAGTTTCACGATGAAATGTCAAGTCGAGGAAATAACAAAAATATTAAACAGAAATGTCCAAATGGCACATCGTTGATGTTACTTTCTTTCTCAATAATCTGTTTATTAATATGTACATATATTCTTGGGTATTACTAACGGTGCGATGGATACACGTTAATGTCCGAAAAAATTACTAACAACAAACAGGTCCGAAACCTCGGCGAAGGCGGTAACACCTGTCTGGACTCGCCCGCTCGCAAGGCCGATTTGCACAAACCGTGCGGACTGTATCCCTGTCATCGACAGGGTGGAAATCAGGTACAATAGACATCCTCCTCCTGAAAAATTTCCTTCACCACAACTTCAACACATTGTCCCACGAAATGCTTGTGCATGCTTGATGTGTGCAACTGTTGTCCTCAAAGTTCAAAACGGAAACACGATTTTTGTTGAATTTGATTTGATTTTTACATTCTGCTATAAAGTTCTCCACGCTGTCACTGACGTTTGCAAGTATTATACATAGGTACGAGCTTGTGACTATATTTCGAGTTTATTATTTGTTACGAGTATATCCACTGTAGAATAATGTGTTTTATTTACATCATAGTATCAAAAATTGATGATAATATATATGTAATAGAAATTAAAAATACTGTGAGTAACCAAATTTCGATCATTGATTTATAAATTGAATTATAGTATAAATCAATTTATAAATCAAAGAATTTAGTATGTATGCGACCGGTGTGATGAATTATATTGATGGCAATCAATTGTTCTGTTACTCGACGTACAAAATGACAATTGAAAAGTTGCTAAAATTAAATAGTTGTTATTTTGTTAACGAATGAATAGAATAAAAGGAAATAAAATGAACATTAAACCTTGAAAAATTCATCATTTTGATTAGATAGCAAAAATCTACATTTCTAAATTGTATAATATAAATAGTTATAAAAATCAACATTATAAAAAAAATTTGGCTAGTTCTACGACTCACTATCAGTAATATATTTAGAATACCTTGCTATAAGCATTTTCATGAAAGTTTATTTAGAATGCTTTGAAGGCAAAATTTTTAATATTAGAAAATGCATTGATAATTTTTAAAAGTGCCTCGATTATTTTTTTTA